TCTCAGAATCAACTTAGGTTTAGCGGTAAGGAAAGCATCTAAGGAGAAAAAAGCATAGTGAACACTTTTCTCTAAGATTACTTGGACCTAGTCCTGTCTGAAGGCAAAGACTGGGTTCAAAACTCAAGCAACCCCCCAGTGAATGAACGTCAATCCTGCTGCACAGCCCAAGGGACCACTGAGCTCTCGTCCCCCATGGCAGCTGTCCCCACGGCCACCCTCCTGAGCCCTCCAGGCAGCCTCAGCACAGGCAGCACCATGGAGGGACGGGGCGGCTTCTCTGCACACGCTCATCATCCGAGAAGAGCCGTCAGAAGGAGTCGACCCACACTCCGATTTCACAGTTCAGCCCGACTCAAACCCAACCGAAAGGGAGCACCTCCTCTTAACCAATTCCACCCGCCTCTTTCTGGGGCCCCTGGGGCCAATCTGAGTTGACACAGCAGGTCCAGAGTTACCTCTGGATGCCTGGTGCTCAGTCCCCTGTGCGCCACGTTGTGGAACTAAGCGTCATTTCATACTTGTGTAAAAGATCACAGGACATCACTAAATGAATGTGCCAAAAAATGAAACCTCTCAAGCAACAGCACTCATAACGTACAGAATGGAAAGACATGGCACTCGTGGAGTTGCTGCCTACCAAACACCTCAGACCGCACAGAAGCACGTAGACGCGCCGACGGGTCAACGGGGAAGCACAAATCAGGGGCCAAACACCAAGCCAACCACTTGCTTCTCTCTCAGTCTTCCTTATCCTTGGTCAAATAAGATGCGTATTCAGTGGAATCACTTTCTGCTTGGTTAGCATCCTCCCATACAGACCAGGGCTGGCCTCACAGGCCTACGCGGCCTTACTGTCAGAGCCCCGTCACTTCCTTGCCACCCCCTTCCCAAGAGTCAGCTCGTTCTAAGATGGCTTCCAAGCACGAAGGAAGCTGGGCGCCGCTGAACTTCACACTATGGGGTAGATAACTGGCAACAGCTCCTGGAGCAGAGGGCTTCTCCGCCGGCCACCCACAGGAAGAGAGAAAAGCAGGGAAGGACCCTCTGAGGGGTGGGGAGATGGGAAGGGCTGTGAGGGCTGCGCAGGGTCACTCTGATCAAAGTCATAAAACAGCAGCCTGGCTCAGGCAAGTCAGTCCCCCAGCTTTACCCAAAGATAGTGAAATGAAACTTTAAAAAGAAGTCATCGTGATTAATTTTTCCAGGGCAGGGTAGGGTACCATCACAAGTCAAAGGAGGCTGTGAAATTAGACCACGTTTAAGAAAAGCTCAGAAAGTCACAGTGTACTTTTGAACCAAAAATGTGTCGATCCAAAAGGCAAGCTGGTCCCGGGGCACGTGCTCTCTGCGGTTTGGGAGGCCCTTCCCGCCTGCTGGTCCCACCGTCCCCACCAAATGCTAGTGGCTCTTTGAATGACAATCCATAAGTTACAATTGTATCTTAAATGATTCCTAAGTTTCCAGACCGACTAAACTCATAGGAAGAAAACAAAAAAAAAAAAGACACGCAAGGAAGCCTCCGGAGAGCGTAAGAGTCCGGCCTGGCCACGCGTCGCCCGGTGGCTGCCGAACTTCGGCACACGGGGGAGCGCCAGGCGAGGGGCCCCGTCTCACCGAGGCTGCGAGAGCAGGTGTCTGAGCCAGGCGCCCGGGCGCTGAGCGGCGCTGTGCTCATTCCCTGACTGCCCCTGGAGCTGTGAACACTTTGAAGCAAAGTAACAAGGCTGAAAACCACAGTGGAAAGACACCGGTCTTTTTTTTTTTTCGGATTCTCTTGTTCCTTCACTTTGAATATCCCTCTACTTCCCAATTCTCAAAACAAGCAAAGATAACAGCAACAGAACACGGCCCAAAATGACTCCCAGTGAGATAAAACAAATGAGATTATTATCACCTTGAATTAAACTCAGGGACTTCAGACGGCCTCATTCCCCCAGAAAATCGAAACGTGCAAACTCTGACAAAATGCAGGCGGGCACTGCGCTGTTCTGGGAGCAAGGGCTAGAACCGGCCAGAAGTCCAAGGCTTCGTGCACCTGCTTCCATGGGAGTTGAGAGGACGGACGGCCACTAGCAGCCACAAGCACTCGGTGGGAAAGGTGACACTTTTTCAGTGAGGTAGGAAACGGGCTCATTCCCTTCTCCCAAATAAGTCACAATTTCTGGTGGCCTCAGATTGGCTGATTAACTCCAACAGCCCTGTGTAACGTACTCGGGTGAAAACCCGCCCAGAGACCTTGAAGCTGTTGTTGAACCACACATCTATTGAGGGGAGCCCAAAGGTAACCTGGTCACTTGGAAACAAACTGGAGGGGTCATAAAATCACTCAAAGCCACCTCACCAGGTGACCCGGGGCTGGCGTCAGGGGTAAACCCACCGCAGACCAGAGCCAGTCCCCTGGGGGAGCTGGCCCACCCAGCACGGTGCCTCGTGGGCTATGGGTGGGGGGCGGGGTAGAGGGAGGAGAAAAGGATTTGCTTGAATTTCTGCTGTTTCTTCTGTCACCTGTGTCACCGAGGACAAGACAGGTAGTCATTCTGTTCTCTGTGAAATGAGGATTATCACCTGCCAAGGGGATTGAAATGAAAATAAAAAGGAAAAGGAAATGTCTATGAAGGTATTTTGGAATCTGTGCGTAATTTTAAAGTGCCGTTAAAGCAGATGGTTCAATATACATTTCATATACTTAAGGCTCAATAAACGCCTGCAGCACTTAATAGGGTTTTTTTTTTAAAGTACTCAAGACCTTGACCGCAGGGGAAGGGCACAGGAGGGGCTGGCAGCGGGAGACAGGTTAGGTGTTGGTCGCTGAGACTTCTCCCTGTCATGAACTGTCACCTGAAGAGCATCCTTCAAATAAACAGCAAATAACAAAGGTGCCTGGGCGGCTCAGGCGGTTAAGTGTCCGATTTCGGTCCGATTTCGATCTCACGATTCATGGGTTCAAGCCCGGCGTCGGACTCCGTGCTGACAGCTCAGAGCCTGGAGCCTGCTTCAGATTCTGTGTCTCCCTCTCTCTCTGCTCCCCCACTCATCCTCTGTCTTCCTCCCTCTCTCTCTCTCTCTCTCTCTCTCTCTCTCTCTCAAATATAAACATTAAAAAATTTTATTTAATTCAAATAACAAAAAGAGACACAGTGGCTCAGACCCATATTCCACACCCGAAGGGACGCTTGGGCCTGACTTATGAGGGGCACCCCGGGGGTTCCCTTCTGGTCACCAGGTGGCGATCTGGGGCCCTCGTGGATGCCACACCTTCCAGTTTTAGCGTCTGGGAGATAACCATTTTCTCTTCCAGTCAAAACAAAACAAAATTCCCCGATTATCTGGTTGGCACTTAGCATACTCAATATGATTTTTCTCTTAAGGTATCAAAAACCATAGAAAATCAAATGGTAGCCATTCCTGAACATTCAGTGGAGTTTGTTTTCCCGACATCCAATAGAAATTGTTGTTGAGAGATTTCAATCGTGGAAATACAAACAATTATAATGAAAATGTATTAATCTTCATTTTTTAGGTTTATTTGTTTATTTTGAGAGAGAGGGCACACGCACAAGCAGGAGAGCGGCAGAGAGAGAGGGAGAGAGAGAATCCAAATCAGGCTCCACACTGTCAGCACGGAGCCCCACATGGGGCTGGAACCCACGAACCGTGAGATCATGATCTGAGCGGAAATCAAGAGTCAGTTGCCTAACTGACTGAGCCCCCCAGGCGGCCCTATAATGAAAATTTTAAATTGAACCCCCAAACAGAATAAGGTAGAATGGGTTCCAAGCCAGCCCGTGTCCCTCACTGATTTTGCTCCCAGCCTACAGACGGGAAGTCGTATAGAAAGTCAGCTGACACGAAGAACCTCACTACCGTCATGGAGCCTGAAAACCACCGACGCTCCTACGGTCCAGCCTTGCTGGTCCCCAGACACCGCCCCCTCTGTTCCTTAGTGGCTCTACCGAACACGAGCCCGGTGCTCTCCACCTCCACACCTTAAACCTTCAAGGCTCTCGTGAGAGCTAGTTTCTGTTAAACATGAGTAATGCTAAGAGAAGTCAGCCGGTGAGATGGGATGGTGGCCCACCGGACCAGGGAGTTTGGGCTCCCCTACTCCCTACGAGCCAGCAGAGCTCCCTCCGGCCCCCCCTGCAGTCGACACCCTTCTGTCTACCTGCAGGGGGAGCGATGCTTGGGTCCTTCCACGTGGGTCCACGGAAGGAACGGGGGAAACAGTGCTAGGTAATCCCTCCTGTGAGGTACCCTCAGAAGGCGTTCCTATCTCAGGAACTGGAATCGCCACATTTTAAAGGAACAGAGGGCTGCAGGTGGTTTGTTTTGGGGACTAAATTACACCCAGAGAGCACAGTAGTTACTGATAAAGATCCGAGGCACGATTCGTGGCTGTGGAATGAACTGCCCACAGATCCGAGACCTTCAGACCCCAGAAGGCACACCGTCGGGAGTCCTGCTACATCACAATTCAGAAACAGGAAATGACACGTGACCTTTTGGAAAGGACTCCTACCCACTCTATGCCTCGGTTTCCTCATCTGGAAAATACCCAGTTTACATGACGAAAAGACAAGTAGTTAATACGTCCGTAGGATTTTTACGCTTTGCAAAGCATTTCCCAAGCATTATGTCATTTCATACAGTAATATATCATTTCCCACTCTTCATGGCTAGCATGTTACATCAGGAAGTCATATACATCAAACTACTTTTAAAAACACAAATCTAAAAAATTATGATTATAAATAAACAACTATGAAAAAAATTAGGAAACAATTGAAAATTTGGTGATGTTATTGGGTTTGGGGGGGGCAGAAGGAAATGGTGGGCAAGAAGTAAGACCTATCGAATATCTTCTACATATTTTAAGTATATTTCAAGAGACAAACTTGACTAGCTGTTTACAACAGGATCATACAAGTGTCCGCACCCATGGCCGAATTACTACGGAATACACACATTTCTATTTCTTCCACATCTACGTGACATACCTTTTCCCTTTGTGCTGTGTCTTAAGGAAAACCTTTTCTTAAAAGACATTCGTGAATTGTCTTCCTGAAATAGAAACCATCAGTGTTAGCAGCTGAAACTTTTCTCTCTGAGCCATAAACAGAGATCCTCAGGAGCAGAACACTCAGCTACAACCAAACCCTGGGAACTGAAGTTTGCAACAAAGGTCAGTCCCCTGGAGATATCAGTGCACTCGACAATGATTTGCCAAAACATGGCAGCCCGTGCTGGAAGGCCAGCTACCTTTCCACGAAATGGCAGGTGCACCTTTACTCTGGCCTTGCCTGCAAGTCCAGGCGGAGACAGATGAAGCCCACGGATCACCACGGATGAGAAAATCTCCCCTCGTCTGGCCTCAGGACCCAGCCCCAGTCTGTTGGATTCTTCACTCAACGGCAGTTCAGGGATCAAGCTGGAGACTGGGACCCACAGACCCAGCTCATACACGGATTCCCCTGGGTCACTCTAAGGTTTTCACCACCAATCACGTCCTCCCCAACACGTCCCATATCAAAAATGAGCCAGCTTTTCTCTGGAATGTGAAGAACTGGAAAGAGAGTCTCTCCTCTCCCAACAACAAGACAGAGTGAGATAATGTATGAAATTACAATTTTCTAGAAGTCATCAAAGAGTTGGGATCACGGGGAAACCAACTAGCCCAGAACTGAAGGACAGACAGACTCCGCCAAGGAGAAACAGGGCCTGAGTGCTGGCTTCCCTGGGGCAGAGCGTGGGAGGAAGACAGGGGTAAGAAGGGTTCAGGCTTGGATCAGAGTGGGTGCGGCAGGCCTGAGGGCACACAGCCAAGGCTCCCTGGACACATGACTGGTTCCACAGCAAGGGCAGAGAAAACAAGAAGGGCCTGGAGGCACTCGCAGTAACAGAAACAAAGGAAGCTCTTAAACAGAACACGTCAAAGCAATGTGTCAAAGGGACCGGAGCCGGGCTGAAGGAATTACAGTCCGAAACAGGAACAATGAGAACAACAAATAATGCCACACTGGATTACAGCCCAAAGCAGAAAATCAATAGACAGGAATCCGTCACAATACGAATAAATGCTTGAATAAATAAATAACCAAATTGGAGATAAGAAGCAAACTTTCCTTGCGGAAGAACTCCAAAGAACAGATTCATAGACTAAGCTTTGCCTCCCGGAGGTGGTGGTGAATTCACACTTTACTTCCTTTGGAGGTGAGACTTAGCGATTCACTTCCAACACCACAGAGTAGGAAAGGGATGGATGGTAAGTTGACAGAGGAGAATCTGACAAACACTATGTCACTAAGGAATGAAGGTTGCCATTATTGGGGACATCACATGAATGTCCCCGGTATGATACCAGGAGGGCACTTCACCTCTATGGCATTCTTTCTAAAACCCCAGCCTGATCACGAGAAGGCACCACCGGGGGACACATTATGGGGCCTGCCTTAGCCTGATATCAAACCAAACAAAGCCTTCTCAAGAAAACTGCAGACTAATAACCTTCTCGAAAACAGACACAAGGATCCTTCACAAATATGACACATCCAATCTAACTATACATAAATAAAGATCTAACTATACATAAAGAAAGAAATGTATCAGGAACAAGTGGGACGCCAAAATGGCACAGCTGCTTAGGGAACCTGTGTCGGTCTTTATTTAGCAAAGTTAAATATGCTTTTACCCCAAGACCGGCAATCTCCCTCCTGGGTATTTACCCAATCTGTGCGTCAACGACCAGAGCGGCTCTTTTTAAAACTGCAAAAATCTGGGAACAACCCAATGTCCTTGATCTGGTGAATGGACAAACGCACAACGGCGCATCTGTAGGATGGAATACCACTCAATGAACAGGGACCACTGGTTGGTACCCGCAAGACAGATGAGCCCCGCAGAGGCTGCTTTCAGGCAGCAGACTTGAGCCGTGGAGACCTGAGTAAGGTAGAAGGGCCCACGGTGACGGCCGGGCTGAAAGCCAACACGCTCAGTAGGCGACCCGGTTCGAAACAGCCATACGTCCCAGCTGACCGATGGGCTACATACAACCAGGCCCGGGTACCAGAAAAGGAGAATTCCATACGTCCCCAAGCCTCCTCACTTTCCCCCCTTCACCAGAAGCCCCCCTCCCGACCACCGCCTCCTGGCAGACAGCCTCCTCTTTGCAGTCCCGATGCTGCTCCCTGATAGCACGTTTCAACAAACTTCTATCTCCCTTGTCCTGCCTCAGGTGAGCCCCCTCACGGCCCAGACCACCAGCCACCACCCAGCCGGTTCACCCCACAAATCCCACAAACATCACTGTAAGTGGAAAACACACTCCCAAGAGAACAAACCGCACGCTTCCGTTCTGTGACTCTGTGCAAAAGGCAGGACCTCAGGACAGAAAACCACGGGTGGTGGCCAAGTCATGTGGGAGGGGAGAAAGGACAGGTGGTCGACTACCAGGGACCGAGGGACAAGCGGGAGTGGGGGTGCCGACGTCCCCCATACTGGACTACGTTGCCAGTTACATGACTGCATGTGTCCCCGACTCCTAGAACACCCCACTGGAAAGGCGAGGGTCACTGTACGTAAATTACACCTCAGTCTCTACAAAGGAGAGAAAATGGGCCCAACAAAGGAAGAACGGTATGACGTGGAGACTCGGGTGATTCTTCCCGCCGAGCGGAATCATAAAACCAAAGAAATCACTACGGTCATTAAAAGCAGCTCTGAGTCCTTGGAAGCGCCAGGGCAGGACAGACGGAAGACGACTCTCTGTCCACAGGGGGCGGCGGTCCCCTGCGTCTGCCGCTTCTGGCTGCAGAAAATCACAGCTTTTCTGCCCGGGTTGGCAGAAGTTGGCCACTCGGAGCAGCCGAACACCTGGAAATTTAAGGACGCAATTCTGGAAGCGGGGAAGTTGAGGAAGGATGGAGATCCTTCATCTGGGTGGAAAGCCTGCCGCACTCCCTTGCTCACCGCTAACTGTGTCCATTTGTCAAAACCCCCGGATCCCCGTGGGTGTAAACTATACCTCAACAACACCACTAAAAACAGATTCGCTCTCGGAGGAAACGAACCTCAGGACAATTCCTCTGGTGCTGGTGAGCCGAGCCTGCGAGAAGGGGTCTGCACAGCCACCTTTACAACGGCAGAAGGAGCAGGGGACACAGGAATCCGGGGGCTCAGAGCACGCCCTCCGTGACCTGAGATCTAGAATGCCCAAAACAGTGCTTGACGTCAAGCGCTGCCCGCAGGAAAGTGTGTCCCCCCTGGGAGTCCACTGGTACAATTCCAGCAAGTTTCCCTCTGCCTCTTGCCCACGAGCTGGCCGGGAGCGAGCAAGCAGACAGCAACAGGAGGAACTTTTATTGCCACAGAGAGAGAAGGCAGGGAAAACCATACAAAGTTCACAGGAGACCCCAGAAAGCACAGCGGGAGCCGCTTTGCGAACAGACAGAAGCCTGGGAGCTCGGTCCTCTCTGGAAACACCAAACGACACAGCAAAGGGATTTGCCGTGTGCAAAATGATGGCTGGTTCATCGGGAGGCAGGATTTTCAAAACGAAGAAATTGTGGCTTGACTACAGAGGCATCGCATAGATGGAAAATCGCTTTTGCAAAACTCAGCATGGCTTAAAAATGAGAGATAAGTGAGATATTTCTAGATTTGCATTTGATCACTGTTCTCACTAAAACTGTTCAGTGCAGCCCGCAGCATCACTGAAAGCATGTGCTAAGCAATTCGTAAGTCCTCATACCGTCTCAAAGATTCAACACAAAAACTTATTTGCAAAAACCTAGTCACTTCCTTTAAAAATACCATAAATACATAAAATACAGAAACACACAAAACATTTCACAGAAGCACGGGGCTAGAAACGCAAACCCAAAAGGACGCATTCACTCTTCGCCACTCGTCAGGGTGGCTAGGAGCGCACGCGTCACACCGCTCCGCGGCCCCTGCGTTACTCTGACCCGGTGCGTGCCTTTTCTGGCTTAACCCACCTGTAACTTCCACTCTCTTCTGCCCAAAATACCTTCTGGAGACTAAGCAGAAAGAATAAAGGATACATCGCTTATCATCAGCTTTGCCTGTGACTTTGTGGGGTTGGAGTAGGGACATCTCACGTAGGCGACGTGACTTGCCTTGATTGTCATCCATAGTATTGACAAGGAGAAAAATGTTAACTCGACACATGTCAGTGATTGTTTTGATCCCCACTTCAGTTCCTATTTCCAAGTTTTGAATAACAATCCAGTCTTCTTCAAATAGACCCAGAAAGAAAACGTCACGAATAATTCAATAAAATTCCCTGAGACCAGAAGTGGGGGTAAAAGGTAACACCATGAAAATCTCACCAGAAAGGGCTCTTCAGCTGGAATTTCAGCCCAGGTAGAAAAGCACTCTGAAATTAGGCTGTTTTTTAAATATCCGCCGTAACAATGAATCCCCCTCGCACATCGTGTGCGTTCCTCCTCTTCTCTGGGATGAAGGAAAGGAGAGTTTTTAAACCAAATACTTACATTCGATACCAAAATTATTTCCTGGGAACACGGCAGGATTTTGGTAAATAGTGATGATAAGGTATTAACGACGGCCTCTTGGAAAACTCGAGTGCGAGCAAGATAAGAAAAAACGTTAAGGCCGCAGGACACACAAATCAATGTGCAGAAGTCCACTGCATTTCTACACGCGAACAATGAAGCAGCAGAATGAGAAATTAGGAAAACAATCCCACTTACAACGGCACCAAAAAATAATAAAACGCCTAGGAATAAACCTAACTAAAGAGGTGAAAGGCCTGTAAAACACTGATGAGAGGTGTTGACGATGACACAGATGGAAAGATATTCCACACTCAGGGGTTAGAAGAACAAATATTATTAGAATGTCTATACTACCCAAAGCAATCTATAGATTTAATGTATGGCACTGGAACAAAAATAGACACATAGATGCTCAGAACAGATCGTATATGTGAGTTAGATAGAGAGCTCAGAAACAATCCCACAATTATATAGTTAATTAAATTGCAACCATAGGACACAGGAGTATACAATGGGAAAAAGACA